ACTCTCAGTCACGAGCTTACCTTAACTTCTCCTGTCACCACTAATTGCCCGACTGTGGCCATTACCTTACTTTTCATGTTAAACCGTGACACTTGAAATAACCCTTTTTCTTAATGAGGTTTGAGAAGGGCCGGTGACAAAATGGTTCCCTTACTTGGACTAAACAAGGTAGTTAACACACTGTTGGTTGCATACACACAGAGAGACACGTGCACGTGCGCACAAATTTGAGAAACCAGACCTGTTATCTACCTATAATTGGAGGTGGGTGATAGCGCGCAAGATGCACACCTTGTGGCGCGTGGCTGTGTGTGCATAGGTGCATGGAAAGGTTTGTGTGTGCCTAGAGCAGTAATGAGCACTGGGCCATAGGGTGCCCAAAGGCAAGGTTCCATAACAGGGTCAGACTCAAGGACGGCTGGCACTGATCCACACGCCTACCTACAGTCCGCACACATAAAACATATTGGACCAGTAGACCTCAAGCTGATCCAGCACCATTAAACAATGCGAGGAAACAACATGCTTTTTGCACATCACGCCCACCCGTTGTTTTCTCTCCTTCTGTCTCGCTCCTTTCGCTCTTGTATGTCTGCTCACAGATGCACACACCAACACACACACACACTGAGACACCCTCTATTCGTCCCCAAACGGACGAGAGATTCACGCTCCACTGGCAAAGACTCTCAGAGTGTAGGTTATTAATGAGAGCATGTCCTAACAACATTACAGAGCTACTGCCCCATGGAGGAGAGGAAAGTAGAGGAGAAGACAGGGGAGGATAGGAAATGAAAAGAAGGGAGATGAGGAGACAAAGACAAAAAAAGACCCTGGAAGAGAAAAATGACTAGTGTCAAAGCACAAACAGCAAGACGGGAGAACACAATTCCAAAGAGGAGGAAGGAAAATGAAAAGATCTGAAAAGTAAAAGGAAAGAGAGAAATAAGAGCGAGAGGTGAAAAGAGGTACATAATTAAAGATTCTGACTGTAGAAGCGGCTGCTCGTACATGGATCTCACTGAGTGACACATGCGTGTTGATCCAGTTCACACCTCAACATAATTCTGTACTTCTTATTAAATGTGACGTGAAAAGAGAAACAAAGTCATAATCTGATTAGACTCCAGCGAAAGTGCACACACCAAAAGTACAGTTGAAACAGATGACCCCTTCGGACATGTTGGCTGATCATAGGGCCATATCAGAAACTAATGATTAACTTATATATTTACTTCCATTGTCTATAAAGCTTACTCGTAGTAGGGTTCCTTTTACATACAAACGTATGTGAGCCGATTGGCTACTACTTAAGTGAGTTAATATTTTGTTTTCAACTAGAGTTAACCCCCTTCTTGCCATTAGTGAGAAACAGATTCATAGAATCTTTAAATTGGCCTCTCTTTCCCTCTTTTTTTGGCTTTATTTCTAAAAATGTAAAGATATTTCTGTCCCCCAAAAACCTAAAAAAGACAACCACATCAACATTCCTTCCCTCAAATCTCAAGACCATTAGATTTATCTGATGCACCTGTACATAAAAAATATTCTTAAATTGGATCTAATTAGATCCACCTCTTGCCGTTACAACCACATCATTGCTAAGGGATTATCTTATCATTAATAATCTTGTAATATCACATCAATTTCTCACTGAGGTTGAAGCTTTTTTTTTTATTAATGGTGTTGCCCAAGTAAGGGATCTGTATACATCTCATATGAGCGAAACAGTCAAGTATTTATAGCAAAGATGAAAATGAGAAGAGATCCAAAAAGAGGATTGTAAAAGACGAGAAAAAGAAATGGGAATGGGGAGGACTTGTAAATACACAACGTCAGGGGAGAGGAGAAAATTCAATGCAGTAAAAAAAAAAAAAAACTAAAAGGAGGCCCAGTAAATTGTGTTCCCCGAGGCATTATGATGCTTGTGGGTTAGAGGAAACATCAAGAGATATTCACAGAGTACCGTAAGGGAGGCAGTGCCATCTAGTGCTTCAAGGCTACAGTTCTCAGCAAAACCACTGAGCCTGCAGCGTTGTGTCACACCCCTCCCATGCCAACTACCATGCATAAGCGTCCTCCTTCTCCCTGAAAAAAAAAAAGCTGCTGCTGTCGGTCATTTTTAACCCAGCACACGCATCATTACAGATGCAACATGTGCTGTTGCACAAGCATGTGTAAAAATGTATCAAGAACAGATAGCTCGTCTCATGAGCCTTGTTCCACATATTTGTGCGTGTGTGTGTGTGTGTGTGTATTTGTACTTGCTCTGCTGGGCTTTTATTGTACAAGTGATCTGGAGAGCATTGTGGGAGCAAAGCGATAAGCCTGGTGTCACTGGCGTCTAATCATACTCTGTGTACCTTATCAGCCCCGGGCTCAGGATATGGAATGAACTGTGAAGAAAGAAAAACGGGGGGGAAAAAGGATATGATGGGAACGATTGGAGGGAAAGATAAGGAGCAAAATGGGGTTAGGTGGTAGCGGGCAACAGGAAAAGAAAAAGTAAGGTGGAAGAAGTGGACTTGATATGGAGAAAAAAGAAGAGATTTAAGAGTCCACTGCACTAAAAGCATATAAGGAACCAGAGCCAAGTTCTGTGTCCTGCCTCACCTCACCACCCACACAGCTCAAACCCACCTCGTGTAAAAGGATCCGCTAACCCAATGCAACTTCCCACTGTGTGCGCATATGTGTGAGGGTGCAGACTCTCTGTATTCGTGTGTGTTGGGGTTAAGACGAGTGCTAAGGATGGGTGGTAATTGAATAATGACAGTAAGGCCTCTGATGGATTACCTGTCACTCTCCTCCCTTTTCCCGCTCCATCACTGTCATTTCTCTCTTCTCTGCTGTTCTCGCCTCACAACCTCCGGTCAACTTGTGTCCCATCCGTGCCATCACCCGCGCCAGCACAGATAAAGACACCCGCAAATACAAGCCAGATGACAATCTGTGCCTGCATGAATTTGCACCTACCTTCAGCCTGACTGGAAGAGTGTGCTATACTTCTGTTGATATTCTCACACATTAATAGCAGAAATGCAGAGATGCAAAGGTGCTACCTACGCTGTCAATAACTGTCATAATCTTTACAGTTTACGGTATTTCAGTCAGTCCCGTTAAATGTGCCTCGTTTATAACTGACCATATTTCAAAATGTTTTTAAACCACATTAAACATTCTAACTCCCTGTAATCACCAGTAATGGTCAATGAACATAACGAACTGCAAATTCTACTGGCTTTTCGACCTGTAAAAGGACTGAGGTCAGCTTGACTGTCACTTGTTTCCCGGCTTCAAATTCCACTTCAAACAGCAAATGAAAGGTGGCGTCAGTAATGCACTAAGGTGTGAGAACATGAAATTTGAATTCTGGTTGAGAGGGGATGAGATGGACCTTTTCAAGAGAAACTGAACTGTGCTGCTGAGGGCAGGATCTGCCAATTAGAATTCGGACACTGTGCCAAAACTGAGCTCCACAAAATTCAGTCTCCCTCTTTTTAGAGAACATTTTACCCAAGAAAAGTGGTGTGTTGGTTTTATAAAGTCAATATGGATGATAAAGATGTGTTTTTATCTTGAAAATCTTTAAAAGACTATATATTCTTCAACCTGCAGATTACATATTTATTTAGTATTTGGTTATCAAGAGTAGACATATTCTGAGAGGTACAATTTTAGGGGTCTGTTCTACACCAGCCTAAATTTAGAATTCATTATCAGAGCAAACAGGAATGCAGCCTGATATCCAAACAAACACGCAATTGAAATACATGTCTTTTCCAATGCAGAAAATTAATCTATATAAATGCACATCTTCCAAGATGGAAACAATAGTTACTGAAAAGACTAATTTACCATGATTTCTTTTCTTCGAATCTTTATAAATATGCATAGACATTATTACTGTGACAAAAATAGTGCCAATGACTGCCAAGAGTGAGGCCACATTCACGTTAGTAAAAAGCATATGAACCACTTTGTCTGTGCTCTGTGGATTCGTAATAATGAATTAACAATGCTAAATATGCCTCACAACCTTTCACATGCTCATCGGAAAATTACATTGATCTTGACACTCAACTGCCAGACTGTTAATTATACCAAATGACTTTTATTACTTTATGTAGATTAAATGTTCACTGGAGGAGACGAAAACTATGGATGCATGTGAAATATTTCCATAGAAAAGAAAATACTTTTAGTTAATTAACTCACATTTACAAAGCTATGCAGTTTGTAAATGCCAAAAGGAGCTCTTGTTGGTTTACGACTACTCGTTTTAAAGCTTTAAATTAAGCTAGATATGAATCTTTGAAAGATGATTGAACCAAAATGTGGGGTTTGAGCACATGCATCCATTCAGTTGTTAAATGAATCTAATGATAATCACAGACTCTCAAATCTCAAAGAAATGAACTTGACTAAAATAAAAAATGTATTTAGTTTTGTTTTGTGTTGTAACCACTTTAAGGTGCTTTAAAAAAAAAGCTTTTCACCAGTTAGTCTCTCATTTCACTTCAATTTATTTTCACAGATTATCTGCAAATTTGTTTGTTTTATTGTTGCTCCTAAAATGTTAAATGTGTGCTCAATCTCTAGTTAAGCCTTTTAAACATCTCTTTTTAGTCTCTGATGTGATTTTTGTGTTTTCTCTGCAAGTGCAAACATAGAATTATTCATTTATTATGATCACTTCACACCACTAGCACTCACACACTTTCCACTTTTTCACACCCACACCTACAGGGTTGAGAGGACAGTGCTGAGACTGTGTTATACTTGTCTTTGCTGGTGCACTACAGCACAACGGGCAGCAAAAGAGCAGAGGATTGAGAGTGATTGCACCACTCTGCTGCAGTGCGGTTCAATCTACAAAATCTGCTAGCTGCTAAATGGTAATACTCCATCATGATCGGGCTTTCTGTTTAGGATTAATGTCGTAAATGAGACAAAGCTGTGCTCATGGGGACGCAAGGTCCACCCTCATTAGGGGTCTGTTTCTTTCTGGGGACCACCTATGTTGACGGTATATCTGTAAGCCGTCTCTCTTGCTCGTTCGAGATTTTCTGATTGAGCTAGTTTCTGAGTGAAGGCCTGTGTGTGCTTGGTTTCAATAGTTCCGCTGTTTTTTGCTTGTTTTTTTCCACATCCTAATGTCACTGTTTGTTCATAGCTTTGTTTTCCCAGAAGGAACAAGGAAAAGAGGGGGAAACAGCCTGCTTCTGATTGTACATGTGCATGAGAGACGGAAGCACTGAGAGTGTTTGATGGAGCAAGAAGAAAGATATCAAGCAAAAGTAATTTCTACACGGATATCATATAGCTGTGTCGGGATGATTAGAAATCAACTAGAGAAAAAGAGAAGATTATTTTCTTTATCATGGTTCATTTAATTGGTTGATAAAAAAAAAGAAAATTTGCTCAACCCATTCAGGCAGTGAGGACGATTTACATTAAGCCTTGTTTAAAGACAACAGCGTGGAAACAAACAGCACCAATATTACAAACCAGAGTTGATTTGGAGCAAAAGTGGCAAACAGATGTTAAGTTACAAGGTCTTCTTTCAAAGCAGAGTCCTTCAAAAGCCAGCAACTGGGTCTGGCATGCCAGCTGTTCGGTTTTCCAAATTGGTGAGCTATAAAAGCACAGCTAGACAAAGAGAACGTCATCCTGCTCAGAGGTGCAGTACTGGTTGGACAAAAATGATGGTGGATGGAATGTACAGAATTCTAAGCTAATGTGCTCTTTTACAGCTCAGGATTCATTAGGTCGAGTAAAGCCCATAAACTGGTTGGTGATTGTACTGTGATTCTACAGCTTTGGTGCTTTAAACATGTCAGAAAAATAAATAATCGCCATGCCTTCATACAAATCTGATATGACTAACATCTAAAGGGAAGCCCACCCTCTAGCATCCTCCTGTTAGTAACGTTTTCTTTCTATCATTATCAATATCTCGCTATCCGTGCAGTGTTGAAGTATAGATGACATAATAGAGAAGAAAAAACAATTTATATAAAAGCAAAGGATGAAAGGATTTTTCTTTTTCTGCAAACCTGTGTGGGAAAAATCTAATGATGTAGACAGAAAATAAGGTTTTCCTTAAGAGTCGCTCTTGGTTCTCGTGAGGCAACCCAAGCCTGAATTATTCTGCATACCGTGTAGTGTTACAATAAACAGTGAGCTGGCACAGTCCGGTCCACCATACCAAACGTGAGAAAGCAGTGACCCAAAGTAGTGAGCTATATGAGCCATGGGAAAGGAGTGATCCTATCCACACACATGCCGCCACATAAGCACACGAACACAGGCACGGACACTTTATGTGTCTCACACAAACAGTATAAAATGCCAGACTGCCAATTAGGGCAATAATGGCTGTGGGAAAGTGTATGTTTTTTCACACACTCACACACACATACAGTAACTGAGATACCTAAGCTCAAAGTTAATAGCACCCAGTTGTTCAGTGCCAGAGACAGACCCTGTTGGGAGAAGGTGGGAGGCCGATGCTGGAAAGGGATGCAATTTCCTGACAAACATGGAAGGTAGAAACGGTAAATAAGAATGGGAATGCATCGTTAATGTTTTTAGTCCTGAAAAAAAAAATCCAATATGAAAAGTGATAATCTGTTGGTAACACCAGAAGCACAACGGTCTGTTATGTGTATATTTGCACCGCTATTATCATAAAATCCTATCCTATTACTCTAAATTCTCTACTCATTCTTTCCTGTCTGTTTATTAATGCTTAGCTCGGTTTCATGGACATTTCAATAGCTGATTAGCCCCTCTTAACATTGTCCTACCCGGCGAGCCAGCATATTAGAGGACACGCTAAGTTGGAGGAGGGCAGAGGTATAATTACAGAGATTTGGCTGGTATTAAGAAATGAGAAAAACAACGAAGAAAAGCTATACAAAAAGGAGAGATAGTGAGACTGAAGGACGCAGATGGTAAGGAGAACAGCAGAACTGGAGGATGGAGGAGGTGGGATGGGGCGGAAGTTGATGCGCTGGATCTCTCCCCCCCTCTTCCATCAGCAAAATCCTGTTGGTCAAAAAATGCAGTAATGAGAGCAGCTGCAGTTGATATGCTCACAAACACACAGCAAAAAAAAAAAGGAGGAAAAAAACCTCTCTCCTCTAGCCACTCACGCACCCACTCCATATCAGCAAATCCACATTAGCACTCTTTTGCACACGAGCCAAAAGGCACGCGTAATCACTCTTACCCTCACACTCGAAGGCTTGCAGCATGGTGGTGTAAGAAGGGCCGAGCCAAGAGGTGTAGCTACCCAGAACTCTCTGCAGGTGGTGGGTGGCATCGCCGAAGAGTAGATCGGATTGGCCATAGCCTGCTGAACTGAACAGACTGAAGCCCACAGTGGCGTTGCCAAACATATTCTGCAGCAAAGAGACAGCGTGTGACAGCGCGTAAAACACGAGGTCACGCAGGGATGTGCGTTGGCGTGTTCTGTTCACGTGTTTCTCTGAGACTGCACGATTGTGGAGCAGCACAGGACTGTCAGTTCTCGTGGCAACCCACACACACCATGGGATCACAGCCCTTAGCACATACTCACGGAGTGAGCGTTTCAGAGCAATACCCTGTGATTCCACTGAGATACGACATGAGCACTCACGCACCCACCTGTAAACGTTCCAGGTACTTCCAGACTCGGCACTTATCCTCCACGCGCACCACCACGCCGTTGGCAGGGACCGCTGCCAGGTGGCATCGCTCATACTCATCCAGGCCTGCTTCAGTTCCATCTGGACACAGCAGCTTGAGGTCCTCCAGCTCCAGATCCAGGGCCCAGGACTCCTGATTCTTACCTGAGAAGGAGAGTTTGTCAAACTGACATTAAATGAAGAAGTTGGAAATTTGGGGAATGTACAAATGTTATGCCTTCATCAGGCATTATACACACAAAGGTAGATACCAATTGCTACGAAGAACTCATTGTTTTGTTTTGTCTGCTTTTCCATTGAGACATTGATCAACTTTGTAAGATTAGTGTTAAAAAATCTAAAGAAGAAAGACAGAAAATGGTGCATCTTGAAGCAATTTAGTCCCCCGATGTCAGCACAGACCTTCTGCGCTTTCTTGACCAATCCTAATTGCTGTGGCACTGAACATTCCTGAACCATATGACAAAGCATGCTTCGTTAAACAGCTGGCATCAAGCTGCTCCTTCTCATCTGTGTATCCAGTAGAGTCTGTGTAGCATGACGGTGATAATGATCACCATTCATTTTGGACGTTGCCCAAAGCAGGGGTGCAGATGCAGTAAATGGGGATTAGAACACTAGCTGGACAACAATACCAGAACCTCTGCATTATTCTTTTCTTAGCTATCCGTTTCTTTTTTTTTCTATTACGAATACAAACTGGTCTTAAAAGCAAAACTATTTTTCGCACCATATCTTTTCATGCAAATGTGCTTATAATACTGGATCCCACAGTCCATTAAACACAAGATTCATTGTGAAAAGCTGACATCTTGTGCCTAAACAGGGAGTTGCACACTGCTTGTTCCAAGCATCGAGACAGCTGCGTTAGCGGCTGTGCATATCTGAAATGCTCAAGTATTTCAACACTGACCATCCGAGTTGTCAAAGATTGTTGTGTGTTTGACGAAAGCAACATCGCCAAGGTTTTCAGCCACGCACCTGAAAGAAAAAGTCACATATAATCAAACACATTTGACAGCTTCAGCATTTCCAAAACATTAGAAATGGCAACATCAGCCCTGTAAAAAGGCATGGACTCTGGACTAGACTGTAAGGGAATTTCTTTTCCCATCTTTTGTTTTACTTAAACAAAAATCCTATGTAGATTTCAATCTCAAACATGGCAGGTACCTTGACAATGGCCTTTTTATTAAGCACCTCTAGACAGCAACACACGGGTGTACCATTATCAATAATTACTACATGAGGCCAATGAATGGAAGTAACATTAAAAAGCAATTATGCTGCATGGGAATTGCCGTTCTTGTAATTCATTGTCCTTTTTTATGTCATGTAAAATAGCATGGTTTTCGTAAGAAAAGATACAGAAGTATAATTATCTGTTCATGCTTTTATCATTTCTATTGTCTCTACGTTCTATTAGAGCACACACTTTTTTCCTGACTGAAATGGATGTGAAGAAAAGGAAAGACAGAGGCAGCAGAGCATTTAAATATCTCACCTCCGGGTCCCATAAGCATATAATTTTCTTGTGTTCTGTTGTTAGTGCTGTACCTCAGTGCCCCTGCCTCTCCATAATGCCTCTCTTTGTGGCTGTTGGCACAGATGTGTCTGTCGTTCTCGTCTCCTATGCAGGCCTCGCAAAGATTCTTCGGGTTGTTGCCTCTGGGATCGTGCTGAGGGTCCTTAACACCAGGCACACAGCTGTAACCAAAGAAGTTTCCCACAGCTGGAAGTAAAAACAGAAAACAAGTCAGTATAGTATAGGTCTAAGACTGAGGTGCCCTTTAGTCTTTGTTATAAATTAGGTGACTAAGGGCTCTTGTATCCTTCAACTTTTCAACATTTGAAATAATTGTATTCAATTTAACGGTTTATACATTCTTTTATACAGATATTTTGGGAGTTGTGTCTATCTTTCTTAAATCCAACCACTTTTCATCTCTTTGTGTCACGCACCAGCTTCCCCACTTCCTCGCTCCGAACCTTTCGGACACTTTCCACATGTCCACACACACACCGACACATTCCAGCACAGACCTGTGAGCCTCAGCCTCACCTCTGGGGAAGTTGCACTGCTCTCCTACACTGATTTGGGACGTGTTGACCAAGTAGCCAATGGGAACAGTCCACCCCACTGTGGTTCTTATTCCAGGGTGACAGGAGCTGCGCTCATGCATCTCCAACAAGGACAGGTCCGAGGAGGACCGGCGGGCCATCGCCACCACATAGTAACTGATACCATCTGGAGGTAGAGGTTTAAAGGATTAGGGAGACAATAGTTCAGGATAAACTATCAGTTTCATTTTGACATTTGACCTCAACTGTGTCTGAACTAGCTTAGTCTGAAAAACCTTCCCGTACAGAACACTATAGAGTTCTGATGTGTGACTTACCCTTGCCATTATGGGACTCTCCTGCCGCCAGCTCGAGGCCATGGCAGAGTCCAGCCGCATAGATGTCATCTGCAAACATGGAGGCTGCATCTGCTGTCCCATTCTGAGGAAAATTAATGTATTTGAGAGCTGAGCCATTACTGGATGCTCTGAATGCTTTGAATGCCAGGAAAAAATATAGACACAACATACTTTGGGATCAGTTTCTAAAAGGTGAAACTGTTTAAATTAGATATTATATATAAATGCATATTACCAATGTTAAGTAGAGGTGTGAAGTAAGACTAAATGCTACAACAAATACAACACACACACACACAATTTGAGACACTTGTGGCTCTTTGTTGCATGCCATTCTCCTCTCTATTGACTCCTTTTTATTCAAGCTACTTCAAAATAAAGTCTACGGAAGCTCCAGAAAAAAACCTTAGAAATAAGAATCTCAGATTAAATTAAAAGAAGATGCATAAAAAATGGACAATAAAAAAAATTAAATGAAGACAATTGGCAGAAAAGTATGACATTGCATAAATACAGCAGAAAAACAGCTATTGCTCATCATAAAAACAAATATTTTATACCACTAAAAAATTAAGTGTGTTTGAAACTGTATATTTGCATTTAATACATTTTTAATCTTTTTATATTTTCATTTTTGTGCTTTATTGCTCTTAGTTGTAAGTTTGTAAGTGTAAAATTTAAAAGAGGAATAAAGGGGGAGGATTCCAGTTAGTATTAGATTTTACTCTAAAATCCATTGCCTACAAAAACTTCAGTGATTCATGAAAAAGAAAAAAAAACTTTTCTTAGAATGCAGATTTTCATGGCATACCTTGATTTTCTCCATGCAGTCCACAGTGTTCAGGCCACGGACACACAGCAGTGTTCCTCGAACTTTCTGGGCGGTAGCATTGCCAGCCAGATCCAAACACTTCTGCTCCTCAGCATCCGACACCACACACCAGGACACTAAAGCAACGGGAGAACGGCAACGAAACAGTCTTAAATTCAGTGGAAAAGTATATAGCTATGTTTTTCTGCCATTTCCCATACATTTTGAAAATCTATTTAAACATTTAATCTTTTTATCAAGTTCTGTTAATGAGAGTACCTGTAGATTTTTGATTGGAGACACAGCTGACAGTCAGAAGAGGCAAAAAAAGCAGGAAAGCACCATATAGCCTTCTCTCAGGACGCTCCATGTCGGCTCTGGTTGGAAACCTGCTTGGAACTATAACTGTAATTCAACATAGATGAGAAGCAGGCAGAATTCAATGAAAAAGGGAATTCTTCTGCCCCCTCCCTCCCTCCCTCAAATTCTTAAAACAAGGAGAGGGGGTGTACGGCAAGAGAATGAGGCAGGTAAGGCTGGAGGTAGAAAGAAGAAAACATCGCATTATCCCTCTATCCCTGACTCTTAACTCAAAGTTCTCATTAGATAATCCTTTCTCCCTATCATGGTAGCAGTATAGCATTTCTCCCTCCAATTATCCACTGAGACTTATACCCCGTGGAGTGGACTGCGGTAGACACGTGAGCTTGGAGCAGCTCAGTTCACCTGGCACAGAGTGTCAGCCAGGGGTCTTTAATTAAAAAAGCTGTGGACAATGTGTCTCTGTGCAGGAGCGGTGTTCGTGGAGAATAGATACCGGCTGGGTCTTGCTCCGACTCACTGGAGACTGAAGCCCCAGGTAAGCAAGAACAAACAGCACCGGCTATTGTTCATGGCCAAAGAGCCCAGTGGATGAAAATATATGTTGGTTACTAGGCACAACTCTACTTGTTTTTCTTCACTCACTTTGCTCACGTCTTTTGATACATAAAAACACACCAATGTTTATAGAAAAACAACTAGCCAGCCAGGCATGATGCCCTTTGTAGGTGAGCACTGAAGAACGTTCTTTCCTATGTTTTAGATGCAGCTTTTTGCAATCCCAGATATGCATGACTGCACGGGAGATGAAGGCTCGAATTTGTTTTCATGCAGCTTTTTAGAAAGGGGGTAGGATGTGATATCTGATCCGTAATACACTTGAGTGTACATCAGAACAGAGGAACTTTTCAAATCAAGCATTTGCATATTGTTAGAGAGCAATATGAGCTTTTTGAGGGATTTCCAGAGAGAGTAGACAGACTTTTGCTCATGCACAAACTGTTTCGCTGAGATGGCAACACACCTCGAATCCAACGCATCTTATTTTATCATCAGAAGAGTAAACTCTGCAGTATTAAATACGCAAACAATATGCAAATCATCAACCCAGAGAAACTAGGCCAAGCACAACATATTATGTTAAAACCGATAAACCTCCCAGGTATTTCTGAATGTCTATGATGCTCCAGATCTTTGAAAAACATATACAGTGGTATAATATGTATGAGAGGCACCTTGAGCCATAATTCACACTTGGTCTCACATATAATATCATACTTTCTCACGCACACTACTATGCTATTTTAGGACATGAATTCAGGGACTTTAATATTGTGCATTGTTGTAAATGTGTTTAATTTAGGTGGGACATTCAACCCCTAGTTAAAAGAAATTTAAAAAAACACATTGAACTTATGCTTGACACTATTTGTCATTTATATGATCAAATAAAGACTCAAATGAACATTACAGTTCATTGCTGAGACTGTCTTTTAAATGTATCAAGGGCTTTCTAATGGGGGCGGCACAGTGCTGTGGTGGTTAGCACTGTCATCACAGCCAGAGGGTTCCTGGTTCGAGTCCCAGAACCATTCTGTCTGGAGTTTGGATGCCCTCCCTTTGTCTGCGTGGGTTTCCTCTGGGTGCTCCGGCTTCCTCCCACCATCCAGAAACATGCTTGATCTGTCCAAGCATGTTCCTCACCTGTTGTCAGCTGGAATAGGCTCCAACCCCATTGGGAATAAGCGGTATAGAAAAAGATGGATGGGTTTCCAAGGGGAAAATCTGAAAACGAGTTATTTCCAGCTCAGTGGGGGCTTTTTCTCTCACTACTCAAGGCCGATTGCACCCTCAAGTGGCCGCAAAGAGAGCTACAAAATAATGAGTTACACCAAAAAATAAGTTACACTAAATCAAAATAAGTTCAACCAACTTCAAATAAGTTCAACTAAATCTTACTCTAAATTAACTAAAGATTTTTATATAAAAAATGAGTTACACTTGCTTCTTAAATTAATCTTAAATTATTTGAGTTTAGTTGAAGTCATCTGAATTTAGCTGAACTGATTTAACAGTTGGAGTCAAATCCCAAACAGCTTCCATGCATTTTGATGAGAACAAAATTTACATAATAACTCATAAAGTTGAAGACATATCAATATAAAAAAGTATATAGCAGTGTTCTCCTGAAATGGGTGAATGATTTGATGCCTAATTTCTTGCAATGCTTTGAAACATGTTGTAGTTAAGCGTAATATAGAGAAATAGGAACACTATAGTAAGAATACTGAACAGCATTCTCACAATAAGTGTCTTGCTTTTTGTTATGTTTTGTTTTTTTAACCATCATCTGTTGGTCATTAGTGTGCAAAAAGTAATCTGCACACCCTGAACAGTAGTATAACTGTAAGACATTTCAGAGCTAAAATTAGAAAATGGTTCCAGACTTCTTTCCCAAAGATATCACCGTGAGTCATGTAAATTGCATTTGGAGGGGCTGCACTCGCACACCACTCCTCAAATAAATGAGAGGTCTGATTTATTTATCATGGAAGTAAATAAAGAACCAGCATTCAGGATTGAATGACCCGCTCAGATATAATTAAGTAACAGATTAAGTAACAGATCTTAAAGTGAAATTAGATATTGTACAAGAGATTTCCTGAAACACTCATGCTCAGATATAAAATATGTTAATGCAAAAAACATGCAATTCAGCATTTTAAGCAGTAAAAGGTTAAAAATAATAATAACACTTGCAATTTGAACAGGTGTAGGCGGTGGAGTAAATATTTAATTTATTTACCGAGATAACTTAAAACAGAAATCTATGACTTGAAGTTGCTGGGTTTACTTGGATTTTCACGCCCCGTTTCTGCATCTTGGCTTAGTTTTTGTTAAATAAAACACAGCTCAGTGTACTTACTCTCAGGATATTTCTTATCCGAAGTTGCATTTAGATGTAATTCAGATATTGTAGCTGAAAGGAATTCTTGGCTTAAGCATTTACAGCATTTGAAATCTTACCTTTAACAAGAAGTTTAACAGAAAATATAAAAAACAACTTTTCAGTGACGTTTACTTTGTGAAAATGAATGATTACTTTAATACATATTCAAATTTCTTGGCATCAATTATTTTGGAACTAATCAAATTCACAAAGTTCATACCACTCTCTTTTTTCTTTAAAGTTCAATTAAAGACAGGGGGAAAAGTTATTATTTGAGCTTCCCCATTCCTGTTACTGGGGTGACGGTTTGCCGCCTGTTGGAGGACTCCGCTGCCCCACAATGCATCTGAAACATAATGTTTTGGTGACGTCATGTGTGGCTGGAGAGGAAAACAGCCAGTGGGTGGGCTGGGCTCTACCTCTGTTTGTCGGCTTTCAAATATTGCAAATTAGGCTGGTGTGATTATTTAAACCTTACAGGAGGACACACACACTTTCCGTAATGAGTTAGGTGTTGTACTTCGCGCGTGCCAGGTAAGTTGGTGTTGTAATTCCTGGCTTTTGGCGTTCCTCGCCGGGCTGCGCTTTGTGTTGAGCGGCTAGCTTAGCGCGCAGGGCTAGCGGCGGCGGGCAGCTGCTGCCGGACTGGCGCCTCCGAGGCGCCGTGAGCGGCCAATAAAACCGTCTCATAATGGCCTGTTAGCCACAGAAAACAAGCAGACCACCAGTTTGTGAGGTTTACCACAAAGACGTGTCTGTTCGCTTTTTTCTCGTTCAGAGACTGCATCAAACCCAGAGGTTGTGACATTGAAATTTAACGTTAGCTCACAAGCGGAATGAGGATTTTTGTACATGCGAAGTTCACAGCAAGCCTGCAGTTAAAGGGATACATCTTATTTAGCTTTAGATGATTTATTAATCACCCTACCATGTGGTTATCTCACCTTAAAGTGGTCAAATAATAATACAAGTAGAAAAAATGTCTTAATTTACTCCACAAACTTGATGATAATTCACCACAATTGTTTGTATTATAACTGAAGTTTATGTGATGGCAACATTGCTCATGTATTTTTATTTGAATGGCAGCACAAAAATGACTCAATCCTGAGTTTGTGCCCTCCTTACAGTCTGAAACCCCGGCACTACCGTCTGTAAAAGGAGGGAATAAATGTGATTATCCACTTTGCTGCACTGTACCCATTTGAACTCTGTCTTATTTTCCCCTCTGCCTGACAGTGCACTGAAACATGGATGTTTGCTGTGTCCACGTCCTTCTGCTGCTCCTGCTGCACACTCTGCAGACGTCAGCTGAGGGCTCAGGTACTGAGCTCACTTCTTCTCCAAATCTCCTGTGCGGCTTACATTACGATGCTGTCTTTTCTTGTTTTTGTTTTTTTACGTCCGAGTCAAAGGATAATAAGCAACATTGAGCACATCTCTGATAGTTTTTCACTTTCAGTGAGAAATTGTTTCCGTCGATGTGGAGCAAATGCATTGCTTAACATTCCAAACAAGTGTTTAAAGGTTAATAATTGAAGCCGGCACATGTTTTTGGTCATTGTTTTGGGGATTTCATCGCTCATGTGTGTCTCATCCATTCTCTCTGTCTTAGATGGACAACTGGTTTGTCTTTGTGAGGGCCCCAAATGCCTGCAGGCCACACAGTGCCACGGCACCCAGTGCTTCTCCTCTATTAAAGCTGGAAGTGACGGGTATTTATTTGAACGCGGCTGTCTCTTGGGGCCAGAGAAAATCCGCCTGCAGTGCTCCACCTCTCCATCCACCTACCAGGTCATTCAGTGCTGCGCGGAAGATCGGTGCAACAGCAACACCACCAAGAGCTCGCTGATGTCTTTTCTTCCATCAGGTCACACAGCAACACTTAACACGCTGCATGTTAATGTGAAAACACCAAATACTGCAATTGTGTACCAAATATGACCCGGTTGGCTGACTCTGTACCCTTCTCTCACCTTCCGTCTCCAACAGCTCCAGAAGGGGAACCAGTTCGCTATCGTGTGGAGACATTAGCTCTCTTTGTGCTCGGCCCAGTGGTCGTTCTGGTTCTGCTGTCTGTGGTGTCAGTGCTGGCCTGCAGGAGGCTCCACCACGGCCGCCTTCAGAGACTGCAGGAGTTTGACACGGAGCAAGGAGCCATTGATGGTCTCATCACCTCCAATGTGGGGGATAGCACTTTAGCAGTAAGACCACATGCCAGTAAAATATGTGACTGTATTTTGGTATATTCTCTTTGGTGTGAGAAGAGCTGCTGTCTCATATTTTCATCCCCAGCCTTACCAGTGGTCATATGTGTGGCCAGGCACTTGTTTATTGGGGAATGTGACCTGGTATTGATCAGCTGTGTCCCAGTGTAATCTCACATAGGGGTGTAACAAGCAGACAGTGTGGGATCTGAAATATTATTGACAGGTGGTTATTTTTACCAACCGACTTGGCTAACACCGAGTCACTGATATCTGTCCTGTCTCCAGGACCTTTTGGATCACACTTGCACATCAGGCAGCGGTTCAGGTCTTCCATTCCTCGTCCAGAGAACTGTGGCCAGGCAGATTAGTCTGGTGGAGTGTGTTGGTATGTATAACTCTAATGTCGTACGAGGATAGATTTAAATCTATTTTAAGTTGATTTAATTTCAGTTTCGCAAATTAATTAGCTGCTCAAAACCAGCTAATTCCTCGTGTAGAATGCAAAAAAAATAATATAATATATATATATACACACACACACACATATGTAGTTCCAATGGAGCTTTAAAACACGAAGAACTAATTGTTATAGCCATTATATCAAATCAGGAGAGAAAATCTGTTCAGCCATTTCACAGATTCCTATCAGTGAGCACACAGTATCTGTAATTGTTGAGTCATTCCTGCCACATACTGCAGTCTTTCATGCTCCATTTCTGCCTGCAGCTCATTGGATGACTGTATATAAGATATCCGTTCTACAGGCCGTTTCATGATACAAATCTTACAGCAGTCTATGACAGACAAAACATTAGTACCATTATTATATTTAAATTCGGCCATATGGGTCATCTTGCTGCTGTCATTAGTTTTACCAACTGACAAAATTGTCAGAAATTTGGAATTTGAATAAATATGTCAACCTTGCTACAGCCTTTAGGACCACAAAAGTTATAGGTCTGCTGTTGGGTGAGATCAGATTGGTATCTGGTAGTTTCTATGGGAGTAGAGCCACAAGCAGAATGCAAATGCCTTTAAAGCAAGAACAAGTCCAGTTTGAGAGAGCGGACGGCAAACTCTTTTACATCTTGCTTTTTAGGTAAAGGGCGGTATGGAGAGGTGTGGCGAGGCCAGTGGCAGGGCGAAAACGTGGCTGTGAAAATCTTCTCCTCCAGAGACGAAAAGTCCTGGTTCAGAGAGACGGAGATCTACAATACGGTGCTGCTGAGGCACGACAATATTCTGGGTGAGTCTGTCCCGTGTCTGGATGGTGGCCAGCAACTTGGATGAGGGTGTCAGTTTATCACAGATAAATCCAATAAAAAGGGCCCGAAATAACATAACTAATGATTTGTTTGATTGTCTTTGACATTTTTTATTTGGGTTGTCTCCTCTCAGGCTTCATGGCCTCAGACATGACCTCTCGAAACTCCAGCACTCAGCTGTGGCTCATCACTCATTACCATGAGAACGGCTCTCTCTATGACTACCTGCAGCGAGTCGCCGTGGAGACGTCCGAGGGTCTGGCGATGGCAGCATCCATAGCCTGTGGCCTTGTTCACTTGCACACGGAAATATTCGGCACAGAGGGCAAACCTGCCATAGCACACAGGGACCTGAAGAGCAAAAACATTCTGGTGACCAAGGAGCTGCGCTGCTGCATTGCAGACTTGGGTCAGCCATGTTTAACGCCGTTATCCGCTTTGTTTGTCCGTTTGTTCTTTGGCATTTGGACTCATACCTTCCGAAAAACCTGTTAAGGCTTGATTTTAGATGATTTATTATGCTTTTCTCTAAAGTATGGCCACATTTGTTTTTATCTTTTTTATTCATGTATCATGTGGTATTTGTAAAAGCTAACAGGTGTGTGCTGCATGAGATGCAGGCTTTCTATTTCAGGCCAGATCTTGGTGGAGACTTGCTTTAATACTTTATGTAATTGGCTTGTTCCAGGGCTGGCTGTGACCCACACACAGGCCGACAACCTGCTGGATGTGGGCAACAATCCAAAGGTTGGCACCAAACGCTACATGGCACCTGAGGTGTTGGATGAAACCATTCAGACAGACTGCTTTGATGCATACAAGAGAGTGGACATATGGGCCTTTGGACTGGTGCTGTGGGAGATCGCGAGGCGCACATACAGCAATGGTGAGAGCTCGTTGCTGTTAGACCGCAAACCCAACGGTCCTGCTCTAAAAATAGTTTGACTTTCATTTAACAAGGCCTGCTACATACAAAAAATCTTGCTGTTTGTGACACCTTTGTGTTCCTACTGTGTTCTTATCAATCAACTTGCTTTCCAGGTATCGTCGAAGAGTACAAGCCTCCCTTTTACGATCAGGTGCCAAACGACCCCAGCTTTGAGGACATGCGGAAAGTGGTGTGTGTGGAGCAGCAGAGGCCTTTCATTCCCAATCGTTGGTTCTCGGATCCAGTAAGTCATCTCAGACTGCACTTCCTTTGTGTTACACGGCTGTCAGTCACTTAATTCTGTCATTATTTGCTTCAAATGACAAAAAATTGAGTGAAACACACAAATGAATAGATGACACTAGATAGATTAGATTAATAGAGAAGGCATGGCTCCTCCTTTTTACTCCTCCTTTTTCCCTCAGACTCTATCTGCTCTGGTAAAACTGATGAAGGAGTGTTGGTACCAGAACCCCTCTGCCCGGCTTACGGCGCTGCGCATCAAGAAGACCCTGGACAAGATTCACAGCTCTCTGGAGAAGGGCAAGGAGTCGTGAGAGGGGGGGGGGGTTCAAAGGCAGCTGTGGGATGTCTGGGACTGGTCTCAGCAACTGTGTGTTAAAACAAGAAGAGAGGGTGATCAAAGGGGCACAGGACCAGAGGAAAGTGGCTCTGGTACCATCCAGCTTGCTCTCAGTCTCTGTGGCCGCCCTCTGGTGACATCCCTCTGTTGAACCTGAAGCCCATACGGACCTGTTGTGTCTGAAAAGCCAGCTTTGCTGTGGGACATGAACCAGTTAGCACTGTGTTCCCAGTGACCCGGACTGTGGACTGTTACAGAGTGTGAGTGGATGGCATATTGTAGTACCCCATCACAATGCTTTAATGGCCATGTTAGATTGTTCTGGGCCCGGCCTTCCTTTACACACACACACCAAACACTACATGTTGAGTGTCTCTTCCCATTCAGTTTCCAATCTCCAGCCAGTGCTGCTGGCATGTGGATGTGGCATTCTGCTCAGAGACAATCAAAACCGAATCACCCATTCAGCTTCATTAATACAGGCCAACTATTGCCACTCATATAAAAGTCACATACCAAAGGAATAGAGCCAATAGAATCAAACTCGTTTTTAACATTTTTTTTTAAATAGTATGGTATTTATGCATTGAATCTCCACTGCTACCACTCTGAGGTAGAGTCTGGTGTACGATGATGTGTGAAAGTGATTGTATACATATATAGGCATTAACCTTACCAGGCTGTACCCTTATTGTCACTATCGAGTAGGAAAGCTTTTGTTGAGATATACTGAAAAATAGGAAAACTGTTTCCGCTGGCCTTGTTCTTACGTATGAAAAAAGGAAACGCTAGATGTACAAAACACTAGAGGCTCATTGTAAATGCAGGTGGCTCATGGAGCGGATCGATAATAGGAATATATCTTAAATATGCTTTGGATCCTCTGTGCATGGTACACCTGAACATGTTGAAAATCTGACAGAGCAGTGACAAATAGAGACAAGACCTCACTTTTTTTCTTCCCTTTTCTAAATGATTTTGGAGGTGAAACCTCACCTCGTAAGCTGGGCCTCCTCTCTTCTCCAGTAACGCCACACTTGGTTATAAGTTGCCTGAATTATGAAAAACAACACTTTTGATCTTAATTTGCTGTTTTATTGAACACTGGTTTTAAGGTCACCCAGGTATACAAAGTAGTTAGTTCTCAAGTGCTGGCTTTGTTTTGTGGGGGGGGGGGGGTTGCTTCAGCCTTTTTATATGTAATAAAACATTTACTGCACTCTTGTCTAATGATCGTGGAGATGTGTTGTGATTTCACCGTTGATCTATACTACGTTTTAAAACTGTCCCCTGTCAAGCCACGTTTTCCAGGGTTTGGACTCTACATGCTCCCATTCGATTGTTTAACCCTTCATGGTCTGAATTTTTTTACATGGAGGGAAAAAGATCATATCCACAAAACTCAAACACTAACTAAATCACAGGACTTCATCAGGTTTCTGCCCTCTAGTGAAAACAATCAGAAGTGACACCCTCATTTACCTGCTTCCCTTCAGCAACTCTGAAAGTCTGCAGGTGATACATAATATATCCTTCTAGGAAGCTTACCAAATCCTTTACTCTGAATCCATTGCTTAGTGCACATTGAAATTAAACACAAACTAAGAAACAACATTAATCTCATTTGCCATCAAAATGGATCAGTTGTGGATAAAGCCGTGTGACAAAGCTCACCGCTAAAGCGGAGCTCCTTACCCCACAGTCATCTCAGCTTATCTGGTAGAGTCTTATATGGGTTGAGGATGCCTTTGGGGTCCAGCAAAGCCTTGATGTGACCCATCAGGGCCACCGCTTGGCTTTGTTTGCTGTAATAAATGTAGTTCCTCTTTTTCAGGCCCAGTCCATGCTCTGCGCTAATACTACCTTGAAACTTGGCTGTCCATTCATAGACAAATGGCTCAATAGCAGCCAGTAAACTGGGGTCCTTAGCAGGAGACGTGATGTTCAGATGGAGGTTACCATCACCTAGAGGATTTGGATTTGGACAGCGATGAGCTTGTTAATAATTGTGAAGGACTTTCAAATATTATTCAAAGTGAGCGGAAGCTTCCAGATGTCTCTTACCCACGTGGCCGTATCCCACCACACTCTTGGCCCGGTCCCCCAGGTGCTGCCTCATCTCCGTCACCAGTTGGTAAATCCGCTCCACCGGAAGTGAGATGTCGTACTTGTAGGTGAAGCCGTCATGAGTCAGTGCCTCTGTGACACGTTCACGCATGGACCACAGAGCCTTTAAAAGGCATGAATGTACAGTCTGAGTCAGCATCAACTCATGAGACACAACTCCTAAAAAAAAAAAGGAACATGACAGTGTAACGTCATGTCCATTCTCTCCACTTTTCTCTACAAATTGAAAACTTATGACCAATTATTTCTTACAATTCTTTTCATCTGAAATAGTCGCACACACAGGAGGTAAATCATTAAAAACACTCTAAACAAGGTGTAGAGTGTCTGTGGATTCCATTAAAAAGAAAAAATGGCTACAGTAATGCATTCTTGTCCTAGGGACATCATAAATATCAAGACCAGAAAAGTAAAATAAATGACAGGCTCCTTATCTGTGTGCTATTCGCTATTCATTCAAACAAATCTCAGTAAGCACAACTATGAAAATAGTTAAGACTCACAGGAAAAGTCTGCAAATATTTTGAAAAACAGAGTACCTCTACCTTTCACAACAATCCCATATCGCCTCTGTCAAACAAAAATCTAACAGAATATCTGAAAAGCTTTTATCACAGCAGCACAACTATTCCAACAGTTCCTAAACTTCCAAACTGCTGCCATGTCAACATGATAAGAAGTGCTACTCACTTCACCAGTCTAACAGGTTTAAATCATAGTCTTATTGTGTGGGTTTGGTTCTCAGGGAGCCGTGTTTGTGCGGCTTACTCAAAATAAACCAGACTGTTGGACTTCATTATAATAAGGACACGAGGTTCATCACCATTGAGCCATTCAACTTTCAACTGTTTTTATCAAGCTCCGAGGCTCAGAAATCTATCACATACTGATTTTCTAAATGATCAGATTTGCTATTGTCGGTCTCTGTGACGTGGTGCGCTGAGGTTACCTTTATTTTTGCTTCCTCTGTTGCCACTGTTCCATCAGTTACTAACAATGTTGTCATCGCTTCCTCCAGGAAGCTGTGGAGTTTCTCTGAATCGTGGTTGGGGTCAGATCCCGATGTTTCTATGACAATGTAGAACGGGCAATCTGCAGAGAAGAAGTTAGGATCTGCTCTTTGTGTGTTTGAATATCTCATTACATTTTTTTTTTAAAACATGCACGGGAACTATGCTGACTTACCAGAGATGGGATTGGCTAGTTTGAGATGCGTGTTTAGCAGCCTCATGCATTCACTGTCCAGGAACTCAAAAGCAGACAGAATTTCTCCCAGCATGCCTTTGCAAAGCTGAAACGTCTTCAGGAGACATTCAAAGGTCTCACAGCCTGGAGCAGACATGTAAGAGAGATTTAATCCACTGAGCAAGACTTCTAATTAAACATGTCATGGGTTTTTTTTTAATAAAATACTATTTTGGGGCATTTTTAAAGATAAAGACTTACATAGGACATACATGTAGGATTTAAGAACTAAAGAAAATAAATCTTACCCAAGAAAACCACATTAACAGATTTGGGTTTTGGTGGGCAAAGAATGGACACTGCAGTGATGACCCCCAAAGTGCCCTCTGACCCAATGAAGAGTTGTTTGAGGTCATATCCTGTGTTATCCTTCCGTAGTGTGGACAAGCAGTCCAGCACCTGGCCATCTGCCAACACCTTTAAAGACAAGCAGAACATGTGAGCATGGCCACCCATTTAAAGATTTCAGCCTTTAGGGTCAGAAAGATAACATTACTATAACTGTTCATTTCCACTCACCACCTCAAGACCCAGCACGGTCCCGTGTAAAGAGCCGTATCTCAGCAGCCGCAGCCCGCCTGCATTTGTTGCCACGTTGCCTCCAATTTGGCAACTTCCTTTTGCCCCGAGATCCAGTGGCATCATGTAGCCTCTATCCTCCAGGTAGAGTGACAAGTTCTCCAAGACACAACCTGCCTCACAGGTCAGAATACCTGTGGGGAAAAATGTCCTGTTTCAAGATAACTCCTTTGAAGATTAAGATTTTTTCATTTTAAGTGCGTGATAGATTTTTTTAAGCTTACCAGATATGTCATCAAAGCTATTTATGTTTTTCATAAGAGAGGTTGAAAGGATGATCTCATCATAAACAGGCACGCTGCCACCAACCAGCCCAGTATTGCCCCCTTGGGGGTTCACAGCCAGGTTGCGATTGTTACAATACCTAGAGAGGGAAAACAATTAATTAATAAATGGATCAATCAACAACAAAAGATTATGAACAAACACAATGCATCCCTTCACTTTCCACTTGCAGTGTACCTGAGAATCTGAGACACTTCCTCTGTGGTCTGAGGTCTCAGCAGAATTTCACTTGAACCTTCAGAAGGTAGGAGAAAATTAATAAAAGGATATCTAAACTATTTAATGATAGTAATATATTACAGGGTATATCTATTTCCAAGCTTTACCTCTTACAGATTTTAGCCAGTCCACATTACTGGACTCCACTAAGTCTGGGTCAGTGATTGTTCTGCCCGGTAAGATCTTCTTAAAAAAGTCCACATCTTCCTTTGTGACTCTGGAGAAAGGCAGCCTTTTTGGAGCTCCATCGGGGAGTGACTTGGACCCAACTGCCCCAACGTGCTGCTCACGACACGAGCCGAAGTTCAAGAATGGACTTTTGAGGGCTGCAAGTGGAAGCCTGGCTTTAGTGGAGACAGTGCTGCAGAGACACAGGTGTCTCAGAGATGTTCTCAGCCTCAGTGCTCTCTGGAAAAGTCCCATCATGACTGGATGCATAGTCAGGGAAGGTAGCTAGAGAGACTGAAAAAAAGGTCTGATTAATGCGTTTTCAAATATGGTTCTAAAGATACGACACAATAAAATGTATTTCTTTTTCCCTGGCAGCCGTATTTTAAAAAGCCCATTATGTCCAAATGCCTCTTTACTCCCTCTGCTTGTTTTTATTAGGAAAAGCCTGCTTAATTAAACACTCACAGACGTTACAGAGCACAAACATATTGGAATTATTTTTTGGTGTTTAATAATTAAACCGCTATTGCCGTTTCAACCTCTACTGATAGTTGGTTTATAGCCTGACACCTGCAATTTTGCTTAGCTTGTTCGGTGTTTTATCACTCTGGCTGACAAGATGTTAGCGTCCTATGCCTTATTTTACTCACCATAAGCAACAATGCACATCTGTCACCTGAAATGTCTTCACTTTTCGTGTCATATCATGGTGCTGCGTCTATCTCAAAGTTCAAGGACAGTTTTCTGACTTAAAGACTACTGCTTGTTTATAAATGGTGTATTTGAAAGCAACAGGAAGTGAATGGAGGATGAAAGGTCACGAAGAAGAGAATGGACTAATCCGAAGCTTGCTTTTATTTCTAGCCAATAGCAGCAAAGCTTTCACTGTAAAGGAGAAGCCAATGACTGTTAAAGATACAACCTCACATTTATTGAGCGCAGTGTATTTCCGTACAGAGAATTTTGGGAATGTATTTTTAAAAACTAAGACAAATAATTGAATTACTATCCTTAAAGTAATTATTGACTATTAGTTTTATTATGGTGTTTTTGTCAAAGTACTTAAAAGATGATCATTTGCAGGTGAGAATTATGGGAAGTTATAACAGTTTCTTAAAAGGTTATCATATAGGTTGGACGCGGGTAATGGATCACTGTTTCATCATCAGTAAAACACTAAGAACACACACTTTGTCTAATTTACTTAACAGAAGTGACACACCTGTGTAATACCTACTGAATGCCAGATTGTTGCATCATCGATTAATAATTCTGGTATTTCTGGGTTGACAGGCTGCACACTTCCTCTTGCGAAGCAACAAGAAAATCTTTTGAAAGTCTAGAATGAAAAACCACATGGCACAACCACGGCAACTAAAGTGAGGACACCTGTGAAACTGGGTCACCATACTGACGCAGATGTTGGAACACAGGACTAAAAAAAACTTAGCATGGCTCTGATTTCCAGTCATATTAATGACCTGAAATGAACTTGAAAGACCAGGCCTGAAAAAACAAGAACAAAAAAAAAACTGTCTTAATTACTGTATTAGACATACAGCACTTCATAAATAAACTCCGGTCCTCAAGGACTGACAAACCTGCAAGTTTTGGAGGTGTCCCTGCTTCAACTCACCTGATTCATGTCAGTGAACCCTCAGTAGGCTCGTGCAGAGTTTAACATTATTTTGAAGAGATTATTTAAATCGCGTGTGTAGAAGCAGAAACGCAAAACATAAATAGCACAAGGATTCATTTTCTTCTTTTTATACAAGAAGCTCAACTTGAACTTGATTGTTTCTTCCTTTTATCTCAGCTCCATTATCATACAATTCTCCTCTCCAATCATGTAAGGGTATACTAAGCTGAGATGGCACAAGAAATCCCATCAAACGTTCCTTGATTTCTTGTGCTCGATTCAATTTGACAGTCTTTATGATGACTGGTATCTTCTCTTGGTGGCTTACATTAGGAGTAGTCTCAAAATGATTGATTAATATTCCTTATTGTTTAATCTCAGTCACCATTGTGTTACAACTATTTGCCACTAATTGAAGCATCACTTTCAACATGCTCCATCCGCTGCTTCGTGACAGATTCAAATTTAGCAAGAGGTTCTCACTCGTTTAAGAAATTTCCATTATTTTAGTGGGGCTTGCTAAACCTTTCTCTCAGGCAGGGATTGTATGATGGAGATTAAGTAAATCAGGACATCTCCTGCAGCCCCCCACCCTGCGGTCTGTTATCTTTTAGGTTTGGAAATGCAGCTCCAAATCTTTTCAGGTTCCTATGTGAGCGTGCCAAAGTTTTTCCAGTCAGTCTCTCTGTCATTAGTTTGTGTTCCTTTTTTGAGAATAACTTGCAACAAAAGCAGTAAAGGGCAATGCATTGTACTTTTTCCCCACGTTGGTGTGACCTTTTCCCCATTCACTGGTTGCTCTGTGAAAATAATGATGATGACAGCTTCTTTTTGGGTAATATGGAACCTGGTATTCTGGTATCAGTTGATTAAAAAAACTAAGTCTTTTCAAACAGTTAGTTTAAACTAGAAATAAGTAGATGGGTACTATCATTTGAAGCTATGAAATTTAACTCCGTTTTCTAGAATTGGATCCAATGATAAAAGATTTTGTTTGCAAAACAATGTACATAAAGAATTTGTAACAAATTAATATAAATGCATTTATTTGAAACTCAGGCTAGATCTTTTTTTATTCATCATGCGATCTGTAACTTACACAGCATGCTTCACCCATTACACCAGCCTACAGTGACAATGACTAAACTGGTTGCTGTGGTAATTAATACCTGTAATAATTTACACTTTACATTAGGCTCATATTTAACAGTCCCTGCATACACTTAAAGGTACCGTAGTTTAGTTTTTTCCATAACAGTCAACTGCGAATAACATTGAAAAGGTTGAATCGATAAGGGATCTAGCTCACAATGACAAAGCATCTGAGGTCCAGGAGAACGAATAATTCAAACCAAACGGACGGACAGCCAACAACACTGGTGACCTCGAACGGAAAGAACACTGAAGGAAAAAACATCTTCTCAGGAAGCGGTCCATCGGAAGAAACCCTCACCTGCTATTCATAGAACCTTTATGAATATTTACAGCGTGCAGATTTCTCACGTTCACGCTTGAAATATGAACACTGGCCCGGCTAACAGAACACATAGGAACACAAATACTCTAATCTAATCGACAAAATAGTACAATGTGTGATGGGAATCTACAAATGTCTTTATGCTTAGCACTTCATCTCTCCACCTGTTTCCAGTTTTAAGAGCTTTTGCAGACGTGCTTTACTCCTGTGCCTGTAGTAATACATTTCTGTAGTAGCAGCCCTTTAGTAAGAAAAAAAACAGTCTGAAAGACGATTTCTCGTATCAGAGGGAACTTTCCCCACTCATCCCAACACACTGTCACTGAAGTCTACAAAAGGCTCCCAGCTTCACCGACGCTGAGGCCTTGAGACCAAGTACAGCCATGAGGTGGATGGCCTGAGCTCAGCAGGAACCCTCTTTGCCTCAGGATGCTTCTAGTACGCCACAAACTCAAACCAGGTTCTTCATTTGGAAGAGGAATGTTCCACAGTGAGCTGCTGTTGGTCAAAGTCCGAAATGAGCTTCTTGATGTGGGCCAGTTTGTTGTGCAGATACTCACAGCGAACCTTGTCCTGGTTGTAGTTAGGGTTAGACTATAGGGACAAGCACAGAGCATCTCCATTATTTACGAGCAAAGCGTTAAAGCGGTGTTGTGCAAGCTTTTCTTTTCTTTTTTAAGTTACCTTTTTAATTTTGCGATACTCTTGAAGAATCTTATTGCGTACCGTCTGCCGGAGAAAATACATAAATTTTAATGCATACAGTGTATCACCTCAATTTAATTTTAATTTCTTTGAGATCTTAAAAGATTAAAGATGCTGCATTTCCTACCTTATATTTGTGGGATTCATGGTGAAGTTGTTTGAGCTGTGTATCCAGTTCCATGAACTGCCGCGTCACGCTGTCGATGCGAGCATGTAGGTCTCTGTACTCACTATACTCCTCATTAAAGTCCTGTTTATAACTCTGTCGCTGGTTGTGGCTGCAAATGACTGTGTACTTCCTGTAAAGATTTAGCACAAAAAAAAAACTCATTTAGTTTAGTCATTCTTCATAGGGACATCCCCTTAATAAAGCTTATGGGGCTCCCAACTTTTGGACCCTGAAAAAATAGATGTATAAAAAAATGTAAAAAAAGCAAGTAAAAACACATACTTCTAGAACTTTGTTAAACTGGACAGAAACAGAAAACTCATCTCAGACGGTTATGGAAAAAAAGCGAAAAGAAAAAAAATGTATGCAACCATGACTTACAACAAATAGTCCGCTGTGTCAGTGTCCACTTTAGGAACTTCAGATTCAAACAAATCTCCACTCGATTCTGAGAGAAAAATGATAATTTTAGTTCATAGAAAATTGCAGAAAAATGTATAAAATTTAGTTCACACAGGAACAATCATCTGCTCTCACCTCTGCTGTCCGGGGACACTTTGCACTTTGGATCCTCTGAGGTCTGGTCTTTTTTTCTTTTCTCTCTCCCGTCCATCCACTCTTCCTTCTCCTTGAAAGAAAATATATTTTTAAAAACAACGATGTTTAGCAAAGCATAAAAACTGATTGAAAACAGAAAAACAAATGGGGAAAAAGGACATGATTTCCTCACGTGGTCTTTGTGTTTGTGTTTGCTCTTCTTCCTTTTGATTGTGTGTCTGCTCAGCTCGGGCACAGTCAGAGGGTACGAGCTATCCTCCCCGCCCTCCTTTGAGTCTTTAGGGCCCTCGTGATCAGTGTCAGCCGGCTGTAGCCGTTTAGCCACTTCTGTTTCCGGTTCACAAACCGCTGACAGGGATTCAAAAAGTTTTTTTGGATCAAGCGAGTTTTTCGGCTTGTCATCTGTTTTCGCTTCTGCGTCCGTTTGAGCCGCTCGTTTCGATTGCCTCCATTGGGACTTTTCACTGGCTCGTTTGCTTGACAAGTGGGATATTCGGGGCTTCTTGCTGGCCAGGGGGTCGGTGTATTCCTCGGGAAGGGCGTGTTTTGGTTGGTGGGCCGGTGAGGAGTTGGGGGTTTCTCTCAGCGGGCTGACCTGGGCCTCAGGGACCGTCAGCAGGTTGTGCTGGGGCTGAAACAGTCTCCTGCAAAGCAGCGAGAAATATTTGTGAGATTTGAAGATGGCTTTTCATCAGCACTGCATATTTGACCACAGAAGTATGAACGCAGCTTCTTCTTTCTCAGTATTTCTGCTGCTTATTCAGAAGCACTTTTTTTGGCCAATCTGTCCTCATTCTGCAGTTTCACCCAAACCCATCAGGCCATCACGGGAGTGTCACTCTCCCTGTTTCATTAACAGGTGTTAGAAATCTCAAACATGATCTTGATCAAAAAATGTTAGTCTGTGAAAGTTTTACACTGAACTTTTACATTTCATCTAGTGGCAGCACGGTTACAGATATAGTCTGCTCCCAGGGTGCCTCACTCTTTGCAGATGTTCTGCTGTGAGCCTGTATTCAGGCGGTGTCCTCAAAGCAGGGGCTGTTAGATTTGATGTGATCATATCTTTTAGGTGTAATAGAAAGTCTTATTTCTTGCCTGACAAGGATGCGTTTGAGAAGCTGCTGGTCCCCTGAGGTGTAGCCCGGCCAGTCCTTCTGCAGCTCCTTATACAGACTGTCCTTCAGAACAAACATGCCGTCTCTGCCACTGAGCTGACCGACCTGTGCAGAAACACACAACCCAGAATAGGAGATTCACCACGTTTCCTTTAATGTTTCTGGTCTCACAAACGATTTTAAGGTGGCTTGATGTGTTGAATATTATCTTTATTGACATATATACTATTATTTAGATTATTGAGCATCAGAAAATAATAACGGCATAGGACTGAATTCTTTAAAAGGGAGCTTATACCTCCTTCAGTAAAGAATCCAGCACTTCCTTGTCTCCTTCGGTCAGCCCATCCTTCTGCAGCCTCAGCATCAGTTCAGGCCTTTTGTACGGCCTCAGAGCCAGCAGGTGCATTACTCTCTCCCGGAGGGGCCTCACATGCACATCACTCTCGCTCTTCCTGATTGACAGAACGGAACCCTTTTTTGGCTTTGATATGCCAGCCCCCCTCTTGATGTTGCTGAGTTGGGAGTAGGACGAGTGTTTGGGCTTGGTCAGTTTGGCAAGTGAAGGGGCCGGAGCTCTCACTGTTACCTTCTTGCCTGTAGGGAAGAAAATAATCTAATTTTACTCAAAGCCCCTTTCAAAGATGCTTTAATGTGGCTTCTAAAACAATTCCTGCCCTCGTCCTTGTATTTGCTTACGGCTAAGAGAACGGGTTCTTTGGTGCTATTTCAAGTAATATGAGGCATGCTCTGACGAGAGGACTCTCACTTTTCTTTGACAGATATGTAGACAAAAGAGAGACCCTCATTTCACTATGTCAGAAACCCACAGAGATGCATAAACAAAAGTCAGCTAGCAAAAGCGGCAGTTAATTCTAATTTAAGAAACTATAATCACACAATTGCAAAACCCGAGTGAGTAAGGCGGGGGCTTTTTTAGACTTCCTCTCAACCAACGGACTCATCAAAACTTACATGTACGCAATTATTTGTCAGTGTATGTGTGCTCAGTGAGATAGGAGGATAAACTTATCTGTTCAAAAGGAAGTGGTTTGGTGGTTGGATGTGCAGAAACAGCAGTGGTGAAAAGAACAAACAGAGCCATATCCCCGACCTTAGAAAGGGCCCATATGACTGAGGAGCCTGCGCAGGCCAGTGGAGGTTCTGTTTATGTTTGTGAGTTACGCTGCCTCCGAATGCGGAGGGCTATATAGAGGGCTAGCTAAGAACGTGCAGTGGAAAACAAAACACATCATAACAATGTCACTGGTTACTACACACGTTGCCATAGCAGCAACATGGCTGACTCCTGCTTTCTTGGCATTATGAGCGAAAGAACAAAAGTGTCTTCGGGCCAGCGTTTTCCCTCAGCTGGAGTTGTCTGTTGTGTAACCATGCACACTTTGTGCGGGCTTCCCATACGTCTTACCCTGGAAGCGGCCTCCGTTTTTGATGACGATGGCCCCTCGGCTGCGCGTCTCCTCCTCAGCTTGGGCCATGCTCTGACGAGCCTTGTCGTACGAGTCATCTGTAGCATTGACTGTCATCTTCTTCTGAATCACCGCGAGACATGACAGCTCCTCAGCAGCACTGAGAGCGGGGAGGAGGACAGCAAGTACAGAGAGAGTTCTGACAAAGCTTTCAGGACGATGGCAAGTTTTCCACTCTTTATTATTAAGAAGCTGTTTTCAAGACGTTAATCCCAAGTGTGAATGACATTTTGGGAACAGCAAGAAAAAGTTGCTGCTGCATAATTGTGGCTGGACAGATGATTTCAAGAATTATTTCTAAACTTCTGTAAACTCTTGACATTTATCAAATTCAACCTCTTCCTGTGCAGTCAGGAAGCCTGTGCTTGTCAGGCAATTAAAACTGAGGAGACATCGTTGGCTGGGTAATTTTCTCACCGGAGAAATGTTCAAATATTAAAACTCACTCAGTCAGCTACCTGATTCAATATACTCCAAATAAATATAAGATAATGTAATAACTTGAGCCACTTTGTACATAGCACACAAGTGTTTGTTTTTTTAACACTGTGACAGCTTTTAGGCAAAATAAAAGCTTTCATTTTAGCTATCCTAAAAAAAAATAGGTTGTATGCATTTTCTTTTTTTTCTTTTTTTAGATGAGATGCTGTTGCATTTTACCCCATGCTGAGCTGTTTGACGCAGTCAAAGCTTCCATGTGGATTGTCACGAGCAACATTAGTCACCCCAAAGGTGAAAATCCTCACTTCATCTCTATTCTCTGAGCTGGGGATGGTGATTCTCTATATGTGAAAGAGAGGGAAGAACAAAGACAGGGACTGATATTTAACATCTGTGACATTTACAAAAACAAGTGAAGAAAGGGAATTTCTTCCCTGTATGTAAGCCGTGAGTTTTTCTTACCCCTTCATTTCCATTAAAACAGATGGCAGCATGGGATGACCAGCCCTGAAGAAAAAAAGAGACTGCATGAAGAAGTTACTCACTTTAATAAAATATGTGAGGAAAAAGGAGGGAACCAGGGGAGATTTTTTAAAATCCAGATCAATTAAAGATGCTTGGTGTCTGTGTACAGGCCATCAAAAGCAACAGTTTTGTTTAGCACAGTAATAAGAGTACGTACGACTACCCTTCTCACCACTGAGGTGTCAGAATTGAAGGATTTAGCACTGACAATGAACCACGCACCATCAGAAATCCTGGCTCTTACATATATTTGAACTTACTCAAATATGTATTAAAATCAAACAACCAATGCAAACCATGTGAAACTGTTAAAATACCATTTGCAGGTTAATGATTTATTTACCACTTAACAGAAACATTTATCAGCTGTGATAAAAGCTAAGAGTTAAGAAGGTAACAGATCTGATCACAAGGGGGTCACTCCAAAGCAGACTGGATGGATTTCTCTTATTCATTATATTTGATTAAAGGTCAGTTTTAACCTTTCATCATCATAAATCCATCACCACAATGCTCTGAATTTTACCAGATAAAGTGCATATTGCCATTCCAATTCCAAGTTAACATCTCCATTGACATATTGCAACAAAAGGTTAAAAACGTTCAGAGGTCTTATGACCAATACTCAATACATCAGCAAACATCAACTGCTTAACCTTCTTTTTCTTTTATTGACTGACCACTGTGGTGACCCGTGTCCAACAATGCGTTGCAAAGCAGACGCCTCGAAATGTTCTCAGGTCCATACAGAACTAGCATAAAACGCTGAGTTTTTTCATAATCAAATGTATTTTCTTTTCACAATTTTGTTGATTTTTTTTAGTTCAGATACATTTAGTCTGCATAGAGCATCATTAAGAGAAGTGACTGGTCTCTTTAGCTTTTACCAGCACGTGTGAGTTTTGAAGAAGAACCATAAGTTCTGATGGTTTCCTGAAGTTATGCAAAAGTTAACATTTCTCTAATCAGTTTGTTTATGTTGAAGCGCCTATTCGTGCCCTGAACATGCGAATAAGCTCTACGGGTTATTAAACATTTCTTTCTGTTTCTTCCTAATGTAATGAGCATCTCCTCGTTCCTTGGTACAGTTCCCTTATAACAGCTGCAACTGGTCTATCCTGATGCATGTGCATCATGTGCTGCCTGAATAAATTCTCTTTGATCTTAAAGTCAGCTCTGGCGTAGGTCATTATGCTGTTAAAATACCGCAGCATGTCACACACGTGCTCTTTGAAGCAGAGAAATAAAAGACTGTCCTCTGTCTAATGAAGCAGGGTGTTTGCCTCCGGGAAAACACAGACATGACAGTGCAAAGCGACACGTTTGCAGCGCGGATGGAAAGTATGTGATGACAAGAATTTGACCTTTTCACGGGAGAGGATCTGAAAGTCCACCTGTTGATGAGAGCGCAGAGCGAGGTGGCAGCCAGCACAGTGTTTGGCTGGGCTTCATGTAAGGGTGTTGTTTTTATTATTTGCAGTATATCTGTGATGAGGCCCACAATGCTCTGAATACTCCTCTAAAGCTAATGATCAGAAACTGGGCTGTGTGTGTTAGTCAGTGCTTTGTGTCTGGCATCTGTATCATTAAGGCTGTATTATACCTAAGCCCTGATCATTGCAGGAAAGAAAAATGTGGTTTCCACCTTTCGTCACTCAGGAGTTAGCTTCAATTTCATCACAAAGGAGTTTCCTACCAGCATTATAGGCAATTACTGAGGCGAGGACGTGTCCGTGACTGCTCTGTGCTTAGACTTCCTACAGCGTGATTCATTTGTGATTAACTGGGTCAAATGTGTGACTGTGATTCCGTCCATCTGAACGGGATTGCCATCGGTCTCCCACATGCTATTCTGAGTTACAAGCAAGGACTCGGCTTCACAGAAAATTAAAGCTCCCAATTCTTTTTTTTTTTTCAATGACTATACAAATAAACCCTCCTACTACTAGCCCTTACTCCCCACATCCTTTCCTCCCTTGCTTTCTTTCTTTCTTTTCTTCTCTCCTCGACTCTGACGACACCGATTAGCATTCCTAATACTTGCCAGTAGCCTGTGAGGACTTGGCCAGCAGCTTCTTAAAAGCTTCAAAACAGAGAAACGTTTCCGCATTGGATTATGCAACATGTATTTCCATTTAATAGCAACGAGGGGGCTCAGAGGGAACAACAACCGGGGAAGGTAGTGGTGAACTTCGGCCGAAATACGAAGCACAAGCCCACCGTCGAGGTCTTATCACTTTGTTTCAAGTGAGAGCTCCTTTGACAAAGTGGCACAACACATTTGGCAACTGTACCCAAAGGGTTATAAACACGAGGGAAAAAATAACCCAAGAAAAAAGACCCACCTTGCTGTTCTGAAAGGCACCAATGGCTCTTGCCGCGCTGTCAGTGAGTTTTACATGAAAAACAGAGATGTTACCTCCGGGGCTCAGTTTACCGCTAGCCAGTCCGTAAGACTGGTTCTCCCTCAGCGCCGACATCGCGCCACAAATTCCTCCCGGCCCGACTTACTCCGAGAAAAACAAACAAATGCAGCATAAATGAGCACACGTTGGCCAGACGGTCCACAGAAAGAGCTCCGCGGGTCCTTGTGCCCGCGCCTCCGCCGCGCGCTATTCTGGAGTAGATCGCATTACGTCATCACGGCTGAACTCAGCGCAGATTTTATTGGCCTAAAAGACACGAATAAACCCTTACGTAGCCTTTACGTAACCACTTCTACTTTTTCTGTTTCCCCTTCACGTTCTTCCAATTGCATTTGTTTGTCAAGAGGCAAAAGTGAAAATCACGAATTTTGAAATGGTGTAACTAAACGGGTCTGGCTTCATTTGTTTTTGACAGTTGAACCAACGAAGGCGTTCAAAAGAACGTGATAGACTCGTTGGACGAGATGTACGTGATGGATCAAATATTTTTGCAGTGTTTGGTAGTGCAGGGATTTGTAACGAAAAAGGCTTATTAAACCACAAACAACAAGGCCTCACCTTTTTCGACTCCATTTTAACTCTCAAAAAGACTTCACACTGACTTTAATTTAGCTTCATTTTGTTCAGACATAGTTGTAACATATTCAGTACAACCACATTTGTCAGAATAATACAAGTTCTTTTAGATTCCTAATCATTTACTGAATTAAATTCAGTTCATTTTGACTGAACAGAATTACCAGTCCCTTATATTAAGGAGGAATTACGGCCAACTTTTTTGTTTTATTTTTTTGTTCTGTTTTTGAGGTTCGTTCAGGTTAAGTTATGGACTTTGACTGCAAAACATAGATTATTTTCTTTTTCAGCCAATCAGCTGTTGATTGGCTGCTGTGCTTGCATCACTCTCCAGTCCATTATCTATTTTCGGCCAAATCTTTATCTGTCCCCACTTTTGACTTCAGATCACTTTGACATACAGATTAGTTCATGGTGGACTCGAAAACTAAAAAGTGTCCAAGCATTTTGGCTGCAAAACAAGCCAGAATTACTTTTATCACACTTGAAGAGAGAGATTTAGAGTTAGCAAATGCCCAATGTCTTATGATAACATGTTGCTTTGGAGACAGCTTTTAGAAGTAAATTGAACACTGTCCAATTTTTCCCCATACTGAATGTCAAACATTCTGGTCATTCCTAATTCGGCCTATTTCATGTAGCTATACACCATTTTGCTATTTTGCTAGTGGAAGATACTGTACTCATTTTAGCTTGAAATGCTCCTGTAGAGGTTCTGATTTAAGGTTGCTATCTGTTAGTCAGTTCATTCCCAGGGTGTAATTTAGTATGTGATTAACAATGATTTTAATACAAAATGCGTTAAATGTTTATCTTCAGACATTTTTTGTTGTTTGATTTTTGTGCTTCTGCACTAACACAACTAGATAAAGAAAACTGTGTAATAAGACTAACAACCTTTGCCAACCACCAATTTGGTATGCTCTAAGTATTTCTCGTTAGATTTAATGCAAACTAGCTATTTTGGGGTTTGCTAAGATGCTTTCTGCGTCTCCAGCACAGACTCTGAGTCTGTCTGCCTCTCCTTCTCTTGTTCGAGTCAAATGTGTTTATATAACAGAACAACCACTCAGTGATCTGAACAAAGGACATAAAGCGCGCCGACGACAAAGGACGTAACAACTGCAACACAAACGTTCAAGCCCAAATGAGTTCCAGTGAGTTGATGTGTGTGGTAATGCTTTTTGTGTTTCATCTGTGTCTCCCTGTCTGTGTTTGAACACAGATGGTGGTCACAGATGAGAGCTGTTCAAAGCTGACTCATATCAAAGGCCCTCTGGCTCTTTGTGGTCCAGCTTTGCAACAGGTGACATTTTGGGCTGAAAATCGTTTATGACTTTGAACGCTTGCCCTTAGCTGAACTTCTCCTCCATCCGGCAGGTAAGGAGAGCACAGACCAGGACGAGGGAGCATCGGCACCATACTCTTCAGTTTGCTATTCGAGGATGCGTCAGCCCAAAAAAAAATATGTTTAGCGGAATGGCGTGTGTTCAGGAGTGAAAGATTCTGAATATCTCCCTACAGAGTGCCTGAGTTAAGTCATGATAGCTATTTTTTTTCATTTTTTGGAGGAGGAATGAGTAAATAACCGTTCATAGGAGAACGTCAAGGTAAGTGTTTACTGTGTGTCCTGTGAACGTGTACCTCTGTATACACATCTTATAACTACTTAACTTAAAATTAATAATCTATAACAGATTTGACCTTACTGTGAGGGCTGGCTATTTTCTCCAGTATTGTTTGTAACATGGACATCATCTGCATTCATTCAATGTACTAGTATGACCAGAAATAACAGAAAAATAATCAGTAGATTAGTGTAATTAATAAGAGAAAGATAGTGAGTAAAATATGTCTGGCTGGGAGGGGAGGGGATCCCATAGCTAATATCCAGCTAACTGAGCTGTGATCATGACTTTCCTTTGCCTATCGTGAGATGGAGAACCTTCTGTCAGACTGCAGCCCCCTCATCAGCGCAGCCTCCGCTGGTAGGCTCCGCCTGGTCCGCCTGCTGGTGGAAGGTGGAGCTCAGGTGAACGGGCGCAACCCTGGAGGAGAGACGGCTCTCCTGGCTGCCTGCAAGACGATGAGAGGCGAACCTGTGCCAGAGACTGTGAAACTCCTCACGTACCTGTTACAAAACAAGGCCAGTATGTGGCAAGATTTCCCAATTCAGCTGAGAATGCATGGATTTACATCTAATCTGTAGATGTAAATACACCGCATGCAAGTGTAACTGTCCATTGATTTAGATGTATTTGTTATGCATTAAAATAATCTTTATAGGCCATAATGCATCATAAACTAGCTATAGATTTTAGTCTGCAATCCATTTAACCATGTTGAATATATTGGCACCAAACACCAAAGCATGAGAGCATAATTAAACAAATATAATGATAGAATTTTATTCTCAAGAGCTGAAACCCTAAGCAGCCCTCATTCTGAACAGTTCCAGTTCAATTAAAAAGAACATTGTCCTTCTTTTATTTTGGAGGGAAAAAAAGACAAAAGGTTTGGGAAATAAAAGTGATACCAAAGAGAAATAATTTCTAAAACTTCAACTAACTGGATAAATTGGCAAAAAGTCAGTGATATAACAGGGAATCAATAAGACACCTTGGAGAGTTAACCTCAGCAGTAAAGCTGCAGGATTTCAGTAATTAGGAAAAATAAAAAATTAATCAATGCAAAATTAATAAGACCTTAATTATTCCATTATCTAACACTATTACGATATTTAAAGAATCTGGATTAATCTCTTTGCTCAAGTGATCCATCTGACCATCAACCCTCCAGCAGCACTGCATAAAAACAGGCATAATTTTGACAAGGAAATCACTGAATGCAGGCTCTTACCTGAACGTGTCTTTAAAGTGTTCTTTTACGCAGTACAGTGCTAAAACACATACAGCTTGTAACAGTTTGTCTCCGTGCTGCTACTGCCAGTGATTTACTCTAAATAAAAATGTTGCAAGATTTTATTTTATTTTTTTCAAGATTTTAAACGTACTAGTTCTGCTTTTCTTCAAACACCCCAACTTGTTTCTTATTTTGGGTTCCAAATTACATAAATCTGGTGAGATTATGGTTTGTTTTTTTTAGGATGCTTCAAATTCACAATCAAACTTTTGATTGATAACTTTTTAAAAACTTAAACTTCTGGCTGCATGGATTGGAAATGTTAAGTCCTGTTAAGTGGTTTTGATATATGATAACATTTTCTACCAATCAGGCTGATCCTAATGTCCAAGACGGGGCTGGCCGGACTGCTCTAATGTATGCCTGTATGCAGCGGGCAGGAGCCCAGGTGGCCTCCACCCTGCTCGCGGCGGGAGCAGACCCCAGCATGGAGGACTTCTCTGGAGCCTCTGCGCTGGTGTACGCCATCAATGCACAGCACCACGCCACAGTGCAGGTCAGTGGAAAGCAAGAGGAAAACAAAAAGAAAGTTTAACTCAAAGCTTGTAGTAATGATAATTACAGTGATGTTGATGGAAAAAAAAAAGGTTAATTGGGAAGTAAATTGTTCCCTGAATTAAAAAAAACAAAGACAAATTCTCAAAGATCGACCTGAAAATTTGTCAAATAGCATCACGGAACACTAACTCACCGGCACTTATCCACTTCAGGTGTTGATGGATGCCTGTCGGGCCAAGGGTCGCGATATCATCATCATCGCCACGGAGATGGGTGTGAACGGAGGCCGAGTGACCAGGCGTTACCTGAATGTCCCCCCGTCCCCGGACACCTTACCAGTGTCCTGCATGTCCCTGTCGGACATCGTCCTCAAGACAGGCTCTCCAAACTCACCAGAGGGAGAAAACATCTTCAACTTCAGAGGAGAAAGTGAGCAAGGATTTATTTAATCTCGAGTCATTTGACAGAGTCAGATGCAATAACCGTAACACCCAGTTTTACTTCAACACCTGCCATTTTGACCTAACGTGAGCGGAAAGTCAGAAACGTGAAAGCTTTTTGGGAAAACATGTGTGAGCTGTCTGTATCACGTAGTTACCAGTGCTGTCAAAAGGTCTCTACAAGCACACTGCGCCCCCACACAAACTTTCAGAGCTGCGTTTCACAAGGCAGTTCTACACAGATGACAGAAAATGCGATGTGGTGGAAAGAATTCGTTTTGAAGAGTCCATTCCACAGGAGGGACGACGAAAATGTGTTGCCTGGGTGAGATGAGGCAAGGTCTAGAGGGTGGCCAGATTGAAAGAAGCAACATCTTTTGCAGAGGAAGTGGTGCTTTATTCTACCTCAGAGAAAACAAAAATGCAGCCACGTGGTTGGTGGTGGCCAGCAGACGACCATCTCACATCATATTAACCCCTTTCATGCATGAGCTATGATAATTTCTGTCAGGATTCTTTTCCAAAGTATTTGTCATTATCTTACGGCATAAAAGAGGTGAAGAAATGTTACAATGTGAACATATTTGACATTTGTTAACAGAATGCGTAACCACAGAACTGCATCTCATATTCTCCTAGTCTGATATTTGCTACTACCTAATCCCTTTTCTCACTCTCACTCATTCAATCCGTTGACTGATTTTAGTCAATCTCAGCTCCTCTTTCACTGAATGTTATTGTGGACATTTTTTACATTTTTATTCTCTGATGCGCCAGTGTCAACTTCAGTAGTCTGTGTACATTTAAAACAGATAAACCAATATAAACACGAGAAAATGGCCTTTAAATAGCTGTCAGCTGCAGTGACCACTGCATTAAAGGGTTAAGATTTTTTTATTTTTTTAAATGGCATTAACTTACCCTACCAGGTCTTGAAATACAAAAAATATCCCTTGAAATGAATAGCAGTTTATGATCATATCAAGATGTTTTCTAGAACAAAAAAAAAAGCCTTACTTGGGTCTACATGTGAGATTTTTAAACGGTAAACAATCTCATTGAATTTCCATCAGGCAAACATGGAAGCATCAGCAGCAGCAGCAAGCTCCCATCCTGTGAGCCGCCTTCTCTGAGACGGCCTGGCATTCCTAGACAGAGGGTTTCATCTGAACCTTGGCTGGCCATTCACGACCTGGCCGGTCTGAGCAGGGCTTATGAGGAGAGTCTGAAGGAGAGCGTCCTGAGGGAGGAGGGAGACCGAAAGGCACTGGGCAGGAAAGGAGGAGGAACGGAGGACGAGGAGAAACATTCTCATGAGTCCGGGGTGCACAAGAGCAAGGCTGACACGGTTCAGAGGACGGATGTTGTACGTGCGGGGGGGAATTACAACAGGGATTTCTCCCGGTCAGACCTCTCCCTCCCTGGGACCTGCTCGTCTCACGCCAAATTGGGCGGTGCTGTCCATAAGAGGCCTACAGCCCCTGGAGGGCCTGCTTTGGACGTAAAGCTCCCAGCCTTCCCTCCCCCGCACACGCAGCTCCGCAGGAACACGCTGCCCTCCATCACGGTAGCCCCCGCCGCCCTTCACCTCCCACCCCTAGTGGCCCACTCAGACTCCCATCTCCAGGTGCCCCCTAAAGTTTCACATCCTAAAAGCAGAGCCTCAACGTTTCTCCCCCGCCTGCCCACCTCTTCTCCCCCCTGCTCTCCAGCCAAAGCGTCGGTCAGACCTGCACTCCTCCCTCCGCTGACCTCCCCCGTTGCTCCTCCGGTCCCGTGTTCCGGTGAGAGAGGCAGGAAGCCACTGCGTCGTCACTCAGCACAGTTGGAACAGATCTGGGGAGCTCAAAGGGACCATTTAGGCTTCTGAAACAGAGTTTTTAAGGCAAATGACCGTACAGGTAAAACAAAAACAGAATAAAACTAAACATTTTTTCATCCTTGGAATTGAATAAAATCCGTGGACACATTCTGATCTGAGAGCAGCCTTTTAAAAGACACACAACTCAACATTTTCTCTGTTAAATGTCGCAAGAAACTGATTTTAGCGCAATCTATATCAATAAAGCTGGACAAAACTTTACAATGTTCATGGCAAAAGGAGTGAAGTCATTTTATTTGTTTTTAATATGTATCTACAACAAGGGGGACACAGGCAAAAAACGACTGACAAGTTGATGAAAATTAAAACAAAAAAATAATAATAAAATACATTAGTTATCAATGCAGATTTCCCACCTTTTTTTTCCGAGAAGCAACATTTTTTTTTTTGTCTAAAGAAACTTTACAATATAAAGAAACATACGAAGGAACCTCTTATTTTACTACACAAGACATTTAGGATCTGAAACTACCCTAACATGAGATACAAAGCAACTCCCCAAGGACAGACTGCCTTATATTCAATACTGCTTTGTCATCAAGAGGAAAAAAATGAAGAACTGAACAGAAAAGTCTTTACTTCCAACCCCGCAAAAGTCCTCTTAACCCTTCCCACCCCTGAATGTTACAGTATAATACATCAGCACAATAGAAATACAGAAATGATCGACGCTGTGACGGCTTTACTTACAGGACAGAAAGAGAGAAGTTGGACTGTATTTTATACATCAGTATTTCAAAGTACAGGGGAGGAAACCTGTGTTCCTGCACTCTCTATATCTTTTCTTTGCAACAAATCTGTCCCGTGTGTGTGTGTGTGAGTGTTTATTTTTCCTCTTTTCATCTTTCCCCAAACACTCCTCGTTCCCCATTTTAAATAGATTTAAAAAATCCTTCATAGTCAAGCATGTAGTCTGGTCTCCAGCGTGTTGGATTGAGAGCCAGTGTCCTGTGTGCCCCACTTTCTCTTCCACTTGTGTAAAAAAAGAAATCTGAATGATTTAAAAAACAAAAAACAAAAACAAGAAAAGAAAGAATCTTGATTCATTCCATTGATGCAAATTCTGTTAAAAACATCCTCATTTTGTGACTATTTTGGATCCCTCAAAACAAATCGAGCGAGAATGCATTTTTAAATAAACGTGTGTGACCGTGAGCTAACCCACCTGTAAATACAGTTTCCTCCCTCGTCACTCTGGACCCCTTGACACAAAAACTCAGATGAAGTGTAAAGCCCCACAGCTGTCCGGGATGAGGTGAAACAGCGTAATAGTCTATAGCAGCTCCAGTTTCTCATGTTTCATATTATTTCGGAGTTAAAGACACACCATCTCTGAACAATTACACACAGTTGCCCATATCAGCACGTTTCTGATCATCTGTTGTGATTTGAAATATCAAAACATGTCAATGATATCAAAATGCATTTTACAGTATTTACAAAAAGAATAAATCAGAAGATGGACAGTTGTACAAAAAAAAAATCAAATCTGAGGGGCGGTGGTGTGTGACGGAGTGTCTGTGTGTGAATCCTGGTCGGATGGAGAGTGGAGAAAATTTAGGGGGACAGAGGAGGGACGCCACTGGTTGCATTCTACAGAGCAATGCCTTGCTGCTTCCTGACCTGCTGCTCTCCGACATGAATATACAGAAGATCTGGCAACGATCGTAAAGAGGAACCACTTAGCATATGGGAAGTAAAAGCCTTGCAAGCTCAACCAACAGATGTGGAAAATAAAACTCCAGTAAAGCACAAACGCGCATTACGGTGTGTTGAAAACATATTTAAAAATGAGTTTGTTCACTATGGGTCAGCAAAACCTATGGATATGAAGGAGTGAAGATTGACCTAGGTGGAGAGCAATGCCGGGGTCCAAATGGTTGTCACTGTAATTATTTCAGCACTCTTTGGGTCCAGATGACAGGATCTAATGATCCCAGACAGAGAGTGGATACGTTTGCTACTCATTCTGTGGTTGATGGAAATAAAAAAAATTTAAAAAGTAACAATGATTCATAAACAAATGAAAGAACATATATAAATAGAGCTGTGCATTTCACTGCAGGGAAGCTACTAAAGCAGGAGATGCCTCTGCTGGTGTACAGGTACAATTTAAATCTTGGGGGGGGAAAAAAAGAAAAAAGAAAGCTTTTCTCTGGGACAGATAGAAAAAAAACAAAGAGGAACCAATCAGTACCATGAGGGGCAGAATCTTAACCTGCAGGGGGCAGTGTGCCAACACAAAACCACATGTTACACAGCAAATGATTTCGGACTTGTGTGCACATATACTGTCATTATAATAGTGTGCCCGTAAAAACAGAAATTATAACCAAATCTGAAAATTATCATATCAATATCATTAACAACAATAATACAATAATAAAAATAGCAATGATACATTACATACACAGAAAAAAAAGTGGAAAAAAAAAAATTCACTGGTCATCACAACACCTCTGTTACAAATGTACACACACAGGAAATGATGCAGATTGAAGGGGGGGGGGGGGGGAAAGGGGCCATTTCATCCCCCCCTTCACTGAGTCCAACAGGAACAGAAAAAAAAAAAAAAAAAAAAAAAAAAACTGTGATTTTCAAAAAGAAAAAAAAAAATCCAAAGCTGTGGTTGAGAAGCTTCCAGGCAGCTGCAAGGAGATCCAACTACGTATCCATCAGGGAGGGCTGTGTGTTTCAGTCTCCTCTCTCCCTCTTTCTGTCCAAACATCCTCCTGCCCTCACCTACTGCCTAGACCCTGACAGGAAGCCGGAGAGGCTGGGTCCAGAGTCAGAGAGGAGGCTCTTCCTGTTGCTCTGTGACTGCTTCCTATTCACACTGGCAGCCATTTTGCACGCTCCGGGATGGCCCGCCTTTATCAGAGTCCCAGCATGCTCTAGAGCCGTCCCGGAGGGCTGTGTAGCCGTACAGTTCCCAGGTGAGAAGAGGACACAAAGGGGAGGGTTGTGGTGGTAGTGGATCCCAATAGGTATGGGGGCAGAGTGTGTGTGCGTGTTTATATGTGTGTGCATGTGTGTGCAAGGAGGGAGGGGTGGTCCAATCCAAAGTGAAGTAAGGATTGAATTGAAGAAATAAAAAATATATATATAAAATAAAAATCAGGTAAAGGGTTAAAAAAAAAAAAAAAAAAATACGGGGAGGGGGAAAAAAGGAAAAAAAAAAAGAAAATCACACACTCATCGTCATGTTGGGTGAATACTGAAAAGAGAGAGAGGGAAGGGGGAGGAGGGCACAGATGAGTGGATATGTCACCAACAACATTTAAACACCAGAGGGTGCTCACACCCCAGCCTGCAGAGCGGGAGGAGGCGCTGGCTTCAGGTTCTGGCCAGGCTGGACCACAACACCCTTCCACAATGGGCTCTGGGATCACCCTGCCTACGGTATTTTTTCGTGACGAGAGCCAAGGATGAACTCGTTCTCATACAGAAATATATATTTTTTCAAATGGCACAGTGTGCTCATATTTACTCAGCAGATACAGTTGGGAAGCTGTTTTGACACTGAAATGCGTTTCACTCAGATGATCCCAGCCCGACAGCCCGATCAGTTGAGACCGGTTATTGGAACTCAGCTGTGAGCTGTCACTCCGGCCTGCGCCCCCCCCCACTGCGGCTCTCCAGGCCCAGGGCAGGAGACTGTCACAAATTTACAAAATGCAAGAGGCAGTACCCCCCTCCACCTGTCCTGCCATTCAAACGTTCACTTTGTTCTGTCTATTTGGTTAGATATTTGGGATTTGTCTTTTCTTTCAAACAAAGATGTGCAGACATTTTGACCAATCAGCTGCGATCACCGGCAGAGAGGGCACAAAATGAAATCCACTCATTAGTACGCGGCCACAATGCAAGCAGAACACAAGCTTTTGTTTGAATTGCTGTGTGCTACCAATGACTACAGCACGTTTTGCTTTTAGAATTTACAGTGCAGTCCCCAGCTAAAAAGTACTATATATGTGTGTGTGTGTGTGTGTGTGTGTGTGTGTGTGTGTGTGTGTGTGTGTATATGTATGTATGTATGTATGTATGTATGTATGTATGTATGTATGTATGTATGTATGTATGTATGTATGTATGTATGTATGTATGTATGTATGTATGTATGTATGTATGTAT